TATTGTGGAATACATACTGAAGACTCTAGTCACTGATCTTCATTGATAAGTGCTTCAAGTCCATTACCATTGCCCACCACCAATTTTAGCAATTATGGTGGTTGGAAAAAATGGAGAGGAGAGAAAAAGAAAAAAGAGAAAGAATGTTCACATTAGTTTGTTTCTTTTTTAACCAGATGATAATATTTCAGTCTTACAGTGATAATATATTACACTTATGCTTCAAATGGGGGTCCTGGTGTCAGGTAAGCCTTGTACAACCACAAGGCTGTCAGTCAAAGCCACCAGCTACTCCATGGGAGAAAGATTAATCTATTCTTTGAATATGTATTTGTGGTAAAAAAAAGTCATTGGGCTTGCAAAATTCTATCATATGATTTTCAGCTTCATTTCTACCAAGGCATATTTTTCTATTATTTTTCCTTCCTTTTTGTTTACAGCTTCTGTATTCCAATCACCAATAATTATCAATACATCTTGAGTGCATGTTTGATCAATTTCAAACTGTCTGATGCAAAATGTCCAATACCAGTCCCATTCAGCTCACTAATTCCTTGGATATCTATCTTTATGCATTCATTTCATTTTTGAAAACTTAAAAAATTTCCTAGATTCGTACTTCATACATTCTAAGTTCCAATGATAAATAGATGTTTGTAGCTATTCTTTTCCTTTTGAGTTGCACCCCATCAGCAAATGTAGGTTTGAAAGGTTTTACTTCAAAAGCTGTACTCCATCCACATCAATATGGCTGACTCTATGTTGAGAAAGCAGCTCTTTCTCAGTCATATTTTGAGTGCATTCTGACAGTCACATTCTCAAAAGTTCACTGCCATTGAGTCAATTCTGATCCACAGCCACTCTATACTGCAGGGTAGAAAGGAGTAGAAAGTCCAGTGTTTCTCCCAAAGATTGGCCAGTGGTTTAGAATTTTGGACCTTCAGGATAGCAGTTCAAAGTGTAACTCCTACAACAAGTTGCTGTTCCTTTTTTCTAAGAGGACCAAGTTTAAAACCTACATGTTTAAAATCAGGGAAGGTGTTCATCAGAGTTTTGTCCTCTGACTATAAAAATTCAAACTGTATACTGAGCAAATAATCAGAGAAACCAGATTATATGAAGAAGAATACGCCACCAGCATTAGGGG